GTACACTTGACATAACATTTTGTAATGGAATAACTTATAAGCAATGGAAATATCATACTACTCTCAAAAAGAGACAGTTTTATATTGCATCGATTTGTGAAACTTATAAAAACCGAAAGAATTAGTATTACATTGTGTCAATCCAATTTTTCTAATAATTTATTTTAAAAAATGTTTTTTTTTCTCGGAAACCTTAAGTACAAATTTTTTTTTCGAATTAATGTTGTTTAGAATTAAGCTATCTAACTAAACGTTAAATGAAATTTTTGAATTTTCTGAAAAATAGTGGTATTTATTTTCACTTTCGGTCCAACCGATAGCAATGGAAACATCATACTATTCTCAAAAAGAGACAGTTTCATACTGTATCGATTTACCACGTATCAAATCTGTAATAGTTATAGTTTAAAAGAAAAAACGTAGTCCCAAAAAAATTGAACATCCTGTATCTCGAAAACGGTTGATTTTCGGACCCATGTTGATTAACACTTTTCGACTGTAGTACTACCCCTATAAATATTTAAACGTTGTTTTAAAACACCTGTATAACATGAGACAATTCATTTCTCAAAAGTTAAAAACGTTGTTATGTGACTTTTTAATATTATCACATTTCAATTATGCCGATGTCCTCTACTCTCCGTTCTTTACCTATCACCTGCGAAGTAGAATTCAGAGACTTCTGCATTCGTTTAATTTTTGGAATAAAGCGACGAGAGCACGTATCTCATAAGCTGCTTGATTTAAATTGGCTCAATATGTGGAACCGACGTACAGTCATGTTCATAGGAAATGCACACTCAAGGTCAAGCGCTGTTGTCAGATCCGACATGCCGCTGGCTCGGCTGGCTAAACGAGCTGAGCCGAACGCCTACGAGCCACGAGCTTCGTGTGTGCTCGGCTCAGCCCGTTTAGCCAGCGGCATGTCAGATCTCACAACAACGCTTAACCTTGAAAGTGCATTTTCCGTGAACATGACTGTACAGTCCACACTGCTGTACTTTTCTATAAGATAGTTTCAGCTGGGACTCCTCCTTATCTGCTTAATAAAATACGTACTCGATCCGATGTGCACTCTATTAATGTTCGATTCAAAGGCGCTCTCTCCCCGCCACTTCAACAACGGAGAAATTTAAATGCAGCTATTCATACCAAATGTCCAAAATTTATAATGGATACATATTAAATGCACAGGGTTACAAAATCATTGAGGTCTATTTTTCTTCTTTTTCTCTGTCGGACGTGGTCGAGCGAGTTACTGGATTTATTATGATTCTTTTCTCATCTCTTTGTTTTATCCCAGCCATGCCTGCCTGTCATATCCCGTAGTCATGTTTTGTTTTATTATTTTGTTTATTTTTTATAGGGTATGGAAGACCAGCTAATGAGCTGAATACCTACCATTTTGTTTTCTCACTCGATGTTATATATTTTCGTCTTACACATATATGTATATGTCTTTTTTTTTTGCTGTAATGTAATAAGAGTGAGGAACAATAAAGAATTTATTATTATTATTAGATACAGTATTGGACACGATAAATGCTTATTCAAGCAAATATGCAAGAAAGTAATGATGAGAATAGTGCGGACAAGTGTGATGAAAAAACGATGGCCAGCTATTATGGGACGACGTAATTGGAATAAATCTAAAATCATTTCATTTTACTGAAACAAATTTTGGCGTATTAGAAGAAATACACGGTGAATATTTTGATAAAGGAGTTTTTCAAATTATTTCTAACCTCCGAGGTCATAGAACTAATGATAACAGAGACAAACAGATATGTAGCCCAGCGTAGAGCTGCTGAAAAATTACCCAAAGCCAGGATTCACGAATGGCATCACACAAATAAAGAGGAAATTGAATGTTTCATTGGAATTTTGATTTGGATAGGCCTCTGCCAGTTTCCTTCCATTGAATCATACTGGTCCAGAAGTGTTCGCTAACAAAATCAAAGATCTAATTCCTCGTAATCGATTCCAGTTGTTGCTGAAAATATGGCATTTTCATAATAATGAAGCAATAACTGAAGATATGTTACAAAAAATTACTCCTTTGGCAAATTTATTAATTAAAAATTTCCAAAAGCCTATTGCCCCCAAAGAGAATGTGTGTATAGACGATACGTTAGTACCTTTTAGAGGACGTCTAAGTTTTCGCCAATACATTAAAGGCACAAGTTTGGCATCAAACTATATAAACTATGTCTCGATAAAGGATACAGGAATAATTTTCAAGTTTATTGCGAAAAGGAGGTCAAAACACCAAACCTATTAAATCAAGGACGTACAATCCATATGTATAATTATTATACTGGTATTTCGTAGTGCATCAATTACATAAAAAGGAATAAAATCAAGGAAGAAAATTTAATCCAAAACACATTCTGGATAAAAAGCTACAAAAAGGAGAAACTGTTGCAGCAGAAAGCAACACAGGTGTAGTCATTCAAAAGTGGAAAAATAAACGTGATGTTTGCACTCTGAGCATAAAACAGCTGCTGTTATTGATCATAACAAACATAAAACGTACATTGATTTATCAGAGCAAATGAAGACATACAGAACTTCTTGTCGTAGAGGAGTAAAATGCTATAGAAAACTGGCCATCGACCTAATCTTGGGTACTGGTTTGGTGAATACGCATATTTTGCATCAAGAAGTTGAAAATAACGAAATTCAAAGATCTTTTTGTTTGAGTTGCTTTTTTGTACTTCACACATGTACAAAATAGTAACATTTTTCTATACTCCCAAGTATTTTTCATAAAGAAAATATTTCTGCACGACAAAGAATGTATTTGAATTTTGTATTATGTTTATAAATAAGATTTTTTATTGAGCTTTTTTGTCTTTCAATGGAAATTCGATTACTAATATTTAGGCTTTGAGAATCAACACTCGATTCACATAGGCACAGGCCAATTGCAGTTTCCAGTTCTTACAGACATGTACAGGGTGCGGCAAAACTCCCTCCCTAATTCGAAAGTTGAATAAAAAACAGATGGTACAAATTAACGAAACTGTATTAACATGAATGGAATCTGCAGAATTGGAAGTTACGTTATTATGGTTTACAACTTTCTTTTTTTGAACAGTACATCGCCCAAGTGTTTTTCTTCGTTATCGAAATGCGAGTTCGGAAGTTACCATTATTGGAGTGCACAAAACCCTCGGGAACCCCATGAAGAGCATCTGCATAGTGAACGTGTTACCGTGTGGTGAGTGATTAGCAGTGTCGGGATCATCGGCCCGTTCTATTTTGAAGAAGGAGGAGTGAGAATGACCGTTAACTCGGATCAATACATTCAAATGCTTTAAACTTTTATGGCACCACGACTCAATGCCCTACAGATTCAACAGGACGGGGCCACTGCTCACACAAGCAGGAGATCTCTTCAAGAACTGAGGCAGCTGTTCCCAGAACGCTTGATGTCTTTGCGCGGAGACCTCCACTGGCCAACACGATCTCCAAACCTTAATCCCTGTGATATTTTTCTATGGGGGTTTCTTAAGGCTGAAGTTTAGAAACATCGTCCAAGGACTCTGCCAGCCCTACAACAAGCGATTCAAGAAGAGATTGCTCGTATTCCTCAAGAAATGTTGATTAAAGTAATGACGAACTTCCGAACTCGCATTTCGATAACGAAGGAAAACAGTTGGGCGATGTACTGTTCAAAAAGAGAAATTTATAAAATATAATAACGTAACTTTTTCAGCAGATTCCATTCATGTTAATACAGTTTTGTTAATTTGTACCATCTGTTTTATATTCAACCATCAAATTAGGGAAGGAATTTTGCCGCACCCTGTATTTTGAACTGCATAACCGGCGCAAGGCAAGCGCTGATTCATTTGGATTTTAAAAGTAATCCTTCATGAGAATCAACTGTTCCTTCTCGGTGTTGTTGTGGAAATTTTTATGGTTCTTTTTATTTTGGCCACCACAGACATTAGAAAAGAATTTAATTTTTCGTACACCAGCGCAATCATTATTATTTAAAAAATGTAAAATTGCCGAACCAGTTGACTTCGAGCCTCTGCCGCATTGATGTAACTTTTTAAATTTATAATACAAATTCCAATCTGTAGTGAATAGAAACATTCTTGAATAGGAAGTTTCCATCACAGTTTGCGATCCATAAGTTACCTCCAGAAGTTTTTCAAAAAAAGTTCTACAGACCGAGAACGCTTGTCTGTTTGTGCAGATCTATAAGATTAGAAACGTTAAACTAAATAGTGTATAGGCATAACAAGATAATTGCTTACTTTGTATCTTATTTGAAAGTGGTGAGGTTTCTTGGTGATGGAGTTTTTGCGTTCACGATGTCTCTTTGGGTAATGCACTTCTTGTAAATGAGATAATCGTACATCCTGCTGTAGTTTAGCACTATCGTTATAAACAGTCTTTTTGGTATTTATTAATATTTGTTTTGCAATATCATTACATCAATCCACCTTTCTAAGTGTAGGTCTTTTGGTTCATACCTTAAATGAAATCCACAATCAAAACGTCCAAAAAGAGGTTAGCAGTAAGATTTACCTTGCTTTCTTCTTTTCTAACCCCGCTTTTCTTTTAATACGTTGCCGTTTTCTACTGTCGCTCTCAGACACTTCTCTGACTAATATTTCATCCATTATTGTAACACAGATCGATGTTCCTTATAAACCAATTCGTCGTCTTATCACTGGTTTGATTAAAAACAACACAAATTGTCAACAAGAGCGTTACAGCAGAATATGGACTCTGCTTAACTTATATGGACAAGTTGCAGTTTGATTCAGTAAACACTGTGGACATGTTACTGTGATAACGAGAGTTGTATCGCTTTGACCAGAATTAACGATGTATAATATTCTACTGCCGACATAGCTCGTAATAAGATCTATCCATTTTTTTAAAATGTGGACATGTTGCGTTTTGTAAAAAAGCTCCTCAATTATACATTTTATAATGAAAATTAATTTGGTTGTTTTAAAAACATTTTTGTTAAAAAGGTTCTGAATCATTATATCGTAATGCTCAAACTATGTCTTCCACAAGCACAGAATCAATTCGTTGCAAAGAGGAACAATCAATTCCTTCTAGTGTTAAATTATGCGTCACTAGTCCTGTGATAATATCCCCTATTAATATGACTGCTGTACATAAATCATCGGAGGTAAATTTTATTTATTTTTTTAAATAAAAATGCTTTTAATCAAAATTATTTTTAGATACAAACTTCTTTATCACCACCCGCAAGTATAATACAAGAAAATCCTTCTTTAAGTTCGCCAACATCACCCCACGGTTCTTTAGAATCGTTAAATCGCGAGCCTATACATCGCGAACAAAGACGAGCCGGACATATCCACGCAGAACAAAAAAGAAGGTACAATATTAAAAATGGTTTTGATGTGATGTATTCGTTAATACCACCATTAAATCAAAATCCCAACGCTAAATTAAGCAAAGCGGCGATGTTACAAAAAGGGGCCGAATATATCGTTCAATTACGAAACGAAAGGGAACAACTTAAAGATGAAATGGATAGTTTAAGGCAACAAATCGATAGTTTAACTACATCTATAAGTAATTGTCAGTGTTTGTTACCCGCAACGGGGGCTCCCATTTCATCAAAAAAGCGTGATTTAAAAATGCAAGAGATGTTTGACGAGTACGTGCGGATTCGAACAAACGAAAATTGGAAATTTTGGATTTTTAGTTTGTTATTTAAACCTTTATTGGGTTCGTTTAATAATTTTGTTTCAACCGCAAGTTTAGAAGATTTATATAAAACTACTTTTCATTGGGTTGAGCAACATTGCGCGTTAGGAGATCTGAGACCAAGTAAATGTTTATTAATTTAATTTATTAATTAATTAAAAAAAATAATTTTTTGTTTTAGTTGTTTTTAATTCCCTTAAATATTTATGTACAAAAACCGAAATATTATTAATGCCTGATAAGTTACCTGAAGAAGCAAGAAGTCAAGTTGGTCCATCTACAACAAATCACGCAGACCTTTGAGTTGGAAAAGAAAAATTATCATCTCTTGCCATATGGGTCAATTATTATTAATTAATTAATTAATAACCCACTTACAAATAAGCATAAAAACAATGTGATTTCTTAATTTTAATCTAAAAGAAAGCTGTAGAATACTTTGATATATAACACAAAAAAGGAACATATAATTTGTGCCTTAAAATACCTAGTTTTAGATTTCAAAAGGTACTTACCCCCAAAAAAGTCCGTTACTTTTTATTATCATATTTTTGTCGTAATAATTCGTGATTGTCGATGTACCAAATAATTGTTTATTTCTTTTTTGTTAAAAATTTTAAACCCGTAGATTTATTTAATAAACGTTTTATTGAAATTTTTTTATTATTTTCTCTCAAATAAATAAATACATAATCATAACATATATACAAACTGAACCACCCCCAAAATTAAAAAGAAAAAAAAATAATTGAGAGGTTTATTTATGAAGGCAGCTTATTTTTTTTTTTAGTACAGTTAAAATTTTATTAAAAATGTATTATTAATAATCTTTATTTAAATAAAGGTGAATGTAAGCCACATTAAAAATAAACAGCTCAATTAAATAAATACAAGCATCTATAATTTATTATTATAGAAATAGTAGGACACTTTGTTTTTGTTAATTTTATTACTTGGCTAATAATTAAAGTTTATTGTCATTAAACGGGGTGCTAAATTATGAAAAAGCTGCCGTAAAAATGCTTATTTATTTATTTTTTTTGATCATTGCTTTCCCTTTTAATAATTTTAATTTTTAGGACTACTTCAGAGAGATTTAGTGAGCGCGTGATTATAAAGAAAAAATTGTTCGTCTAAAACCATTTTTAAAATAACCATATTAAAAACAAATACAATATATATTATATAGATTATATTAAATTTAACAAACATAAAGAAAAAGGAATTAATATTTTCAGGAAGAAAAAAAATTAATAAAGGTTAAGTACAAGAGTGCACATTCGGTCCAAAACTTTCTGTAAAAATACTATTGTATGTGTATGTTGTGTATATAATAATAATAATAAGGCAACCTCTACAAATAGCTCTTTCTTGTCGCATTGCAACAATAGCCGAACTATGGAATTTATCGATGCTAAACACTAATTGATACATATGTAGTTTATGTTTTTGTGTCTTTACGGATGTAATTAAATGTGATTGGGCGATGAAACGAGCGAAATTTCAGTCGGTTATGGAAATTTGGGCGAACCCTATTAACGCTTTATCATCAGGCGTTTCGTTACTATTCACACCAGAATTCTAAAAATTATTTAAATAATATTAATTAATTAAAACAAATTGTGAAAAAACTTACCAAAGGAAAAGTAACCACTTTCATTGTATCCCTACTCTCAACCAATTTTTGTAAATTCGTTGTAATTGCCACCATATCTCTACTATCAACTAAATTCGCGCCAACAAGTTCACTCGCGATTCCTTCCGCTGAATCTGTTCCCACGTTAAACTCAAATCTTATATCATTCAATTCTCGTTTAGCATTTCTAAAAAGAAAAAAATAAATCGTTAAAGTTGTTCTTTTTTGAATTAAAATGTTTTAATAACCTGCATGGTGGAGGGAACTCTTCAGGAATTCTAGGAAAAGGAATGGGATTTTTTTGTTGATTAAAATGGGATTA